GTGGGATGTTTTCTCTCGTATCTTTTCTGTTGTTTTAAACATTTAGAAAATCTTTTTTTTTTGTCCTGAATGCAACATGACATTAAAAAAAACGAACTTTTTATTTTAATTATTGCTTAAAATTAGCTACTAAAACTTTATTTGAGCTGAAAACTGGGCTCAAGTAAAATTGACAGGACATAAATTAAAAGGTTTGTGTTTCATTAAAAAATACCATTTTTAATTCTTCACCCATCAGTGAAAAATAAAAATCACAGAAATGTGAATATTTAAGAGTGAAAATCAGAAAATGTTTTGTTTTAAGCTCAATATTTAATAGCCTGTATATATTTTATAACTTCTGGAAACTAAATGATCAATAAATCAGAACTAAAGCAATAAAATATTCTAAACACATAAAATTCATAAAAATGTCAAGTTAAAATTTATTTAAATAAAGAATTGAAACTGAAAACCTTCATTTGAACTATCTGAGGTAGTTCATAAGTTTGCTTTGTAAACATTTGTTTAAATATTTTRCATTTTATTTTAGTTTTGTAATAAATAATAAAAATTAAAAATGTCAGATGAGCTTTTCATTCATTTTATTTTTCTTACATGAAACAGAAGTTACAACAAAACAACTGAAACTGTGATAAATTCATTCAAATGAAGTGATTCAAATAAAAACTAAAGATTTAAAAAAGCAATAAAAAGGTTAAAACCACCTTTTATTTCAAAAATAACGCAAAAACAATCAGTAACTTTTTTTTATCAAACTTTTAGTGAATCAAACGTTAAAATGGTGTTTTTGCAGCTCAACGGACAGATTTGTGATTAAACCTTAAAAACGAGTCTTTCCYTGATGCAGACGTGTTTGTGACACGTGAAACTTTAAACTAATAAAATAAAAACACAGTGAGTCGTTAGTGAAGCTGGGATCAGTTAAACCTGAACAGGAAACAAAGTCAGGATTAAAACAAGATTTAATCTTTCGTTACACCTCAAACAAATAAAACATCAACTTTACATTTTTATGTTTGTTAATTTGTTCTTTTTCCTCCACATTTTAATTAATTAAAAACAACTGGTTTTTCTGCTCCTTCAAAATATAAAAGTCTGGTGATATTCTTAGTTTTTATATAAAACCTTCAGTTCAAACTCATTTTTCTGTTTAAAAAAATCCTTTTTTAAACGATTGTTTTACTCAAACTGTTGAGAAACTGAAGCTTCAGTCAGAAACAGCTGCTTTTACTAAATAATAAACATCTGCTTTTATTTATATTTAGATTTTTTTCCCCTGATCCACCAGAACAGATTCTTCACTTTATCCATGCTGCATAGAAACAAACTCAAATAACAAATAACAAAAAAACCTATAAAAATCACATATTTTAGTGCAGCTCCTGTTTTATTGGAGGAATAAAAACATCTTCAGATTAAACCTAAAACAAACTTTTTAAAATTAAATGTAGTAAAGTTGTCCCACCTGGGTCCACCGGAGGGCAGCGTTTCATTTTACATCAAACCAGAGAAAACAGGAAGCAAATTTAATTTAATCTGATTGAACTGAGAGAAAAACTACAGATGATTATAAATATATTTAAAGTTTTTTTTTTTTGTTGCTTCATGTAAAAATAAAACACATTAAATAAATCAGAGCTGGTCAATTATAAAGAAAAACAAACAAAACGTCCTCATATTTACTGATAAAATCAATAAATTATAGATAATAATCAGTGTTTTTGATGCTAAAGAAGATAAAATAATAATAAAATTGTAATTTGGARTCATTTTAGAGTCATTTCTGTGTGTTGGGAACCAACCTGAACTTAAAAAGCTGGTTTGATTTGTGGAAAGTTTTTTTTTAATGTGCAGCATTTAGATAATAAATGTTTAAATATCACCAGACTTTGACTTCAAACAGAATCACCTGATTCAGATTGTTACTGAGGATTAAACATGTAATTACTGAGATTTAAGCTCCTCCCCCTGAACAAACCCGGCGTCTGTGATGTTCGCTGCATTTCACACAGTTTGTAGAAGAAAACAAATCCTGTTTCTTTGAAAGAATCTCCAGTTTTATCTGTTTCAGATGAAGTGTTGGACAGCAGGACTGTGGGGCACGGCGGTGGGGGGGCCGTGGTCTGGGCTCCGAGAGTTTAAACAGCTTCAAACCTGGAGATTATTTGAAAGAAACAGGAAGTGGAATGTGCCGAACARCTTAACGTCTGCCGGGCTGACGCTGACCCGACCCCTCCCTCCAGGTCTCGTCTCCTCAGTTGCAGCACTCCACGTAGTTGGCCGGCAGCATCCCGGACTTGCCGGTTCTCTGCACGGTGCCGTACATCCAGCCCTCGTCGATGGACTGAGCGTTGACGATGACGTCGCCGTCCCTGAAGGACACCTCGTCGTGGTCCTGAGCCGCGTAGTCGTAGAGCGCTCGGTAAACCCGCTGAAACACAGACAGAGGTCTCTGAGCTTCAACAGTTCAGACCTTTACCTCAGCTGGAACTAAACTCTGAAAATATTACGGCAAAAGAGACACTAAAAATAAAAAATGATAATTTAATCAGATAAACCTCAGAATTCTGACATTAATGTTTTTTTATTCAATGAATACAAACATTTCTGAGAATAAAACTGATGTTCTTATAAAGTTTTAGAACAAAGAGAACATCTAAAGTGTTTTGCTGATTTGATCAAAAGCGTACGGTGGAGGCGGAGTGTGGCGGCGAGGTGACAGATCTGACAGACGACATGCTGGTCTGATGCATGTAGCCGTGATACTGCTGCTGCTGCTGCATCGGGACGCCCTGATGATGATGATGATGGTGGTACGCTCCGGGCAGGACGGGAGCTGGGAGACAAACACAAACAGGAAGTGAGTCTGAGAGGCATTTCCTGTTTGATTCTGTGAGTAAAACCAGGAAACGCTGTGAGAAAACCCCTGCAAAGACACGGTGAGTTAGTGGAGTTTATCTGTGAGTTTATGAAACACGTTTGTGTGTTTTCACTCCGACACACAGGAGGAGCTACCAGAGGTGTCGGTGCTGCTGTGGTCCCACAGGTCAGAGGTCAAGGAGCTGACAGACTGAGACTGCTGCCCGCTCAGCCTGAGGTCCGCTCGCTCTGACAGGAGTCGCCACCGGGGGGCAGCAGAGGGCAGACAGACCCCCAGCATAGACAGAGAAGAAGAGACAACATTTATGCTCCCGAAAATAACTTCAAATAAAATTTAAATAAGCAGTAAGTTTGATTCATATCTTTGTTTGTGTTGGATAAAATGACACGTTACGCTGATGACGCCTGACTCTACGTATCAAACAGGAAACAAGGTTTATTAAAAAGAACTAAATAAATAAAATAAAGATTAAACAAACGGACTTGATCAGGTCTAATCACTGCAAAAACTGAGTGAACTGAGATGATTTATGCAGAAATAACTTGTTTATAAAAATACTAAAAAATGGATTTTACAWAAAAATAAAACATTTTAAAGCTTTTTAACACAAAACTTAAAATCTGAKTTTTCTCTCAGGTTAGTATCAGAACAGATGTTCCTGCAGATTTTACAAGATTTTTCTTATTAAAGCGTCTCAGGTGAACTACCGGACATCCTGCGGAGACTTTTGGACTGAATGTTGTCCTCCACAGGGTCAAAGTCAAAGATGGAGCCTGGATCTGTCCTCCAAACCTTCAGATCTTCAGACGGGAGGAAACAATCTGTTCAATTCACATAAAAAGATCCAAAACTACACTCCTGGCTGAGTTTGAGCTCCYATTCTCTTGTTTACCTGCTGATATGAATCACAGAAATAAAACATTGAAGGAATAAAAAGGTAAAAAAATCAAAGTCTTTATACAAAAAGAAGTCATTCATGCGGTTCTGATTCTGCTCAGAGACTGAAGGACCCGCCCTGCTCTGCTCTGATTGGCTAAAACTCTGACTCTGGTTCGTTTTATTGGTTGAAAGCAGCGTCAGTTAATCCATCACAACACAAGTTTTCTTTTTTTTACTCAACAGGAAATGCACTGCAGAAACGGCCAGGAGAGACTGAGAAATTTATTCGTTTCTGCCCGACAAAATTTAAGACCTTTGAGTAACAAATTTAACACCAACTTGCACATTTTTAAACAAATTTAAGACTTTTTAAGGTCTTAATTTTAGATATGTGAATTTAAGACTTTTTAAGGTGAATTAAAGAATTTTTAAGGACACAGACACCCTGATTTTGTGTTGGACTCACTAACCTACGATGATGCCTCCTGGTCTTCTGTCCAGCTCCACTGCCTGGGGGTGGATCCCTTTGCTGTAGCCCGCCTCTCCTATCATCTGATTGGCTCTCTGGTAGCGCTCCATGCCMGGGTCGTCCAATCCTGGAGTGAAGCCTCGGCCGCGCGTCCGCTCAAAGTCCTCGTGGTATTTGGCCTGACGGAGTGGTGAGAGAGGAGTCAGAGAGCTGAGTACACACAGCTACACACAGCTACACACAGGTACACACAAGTACACACAGCTCAAGGTGCATCTGATCAGTGAGCGACACACACACACACACACACACACACACACACACACACACACACACACACACACACACACACACACACACACAGGTGTTCTGTGTTTCCTGGTGGTGCAGGTTAGATCCTGTGCAGCAGTCCCACCCTCTGTGCCACGTCACTCATGTTAGCTCCTCCCACCGCTCAGATGGGAGCCACGGCAACCAGATTGCTACCATGGAGACCGAGTCCTGGGTCCTCCTGACCCGCCTGTACTCAGGTGTGTCCAGCTCCGTGCAGCTCCGCCCCCTCAGCTCCTGCAAACCACGCTGGTACTTCACCTGTTCAAAGAGTTTATATGATGACATCATGAAACAAACGATTTCTGAGGCTTTGATGTGGATTCAGTTTTTACCCAAATTGTTTTTAATGCTGGACCAGGTCTGAACTGGACCAGACCTGAACTGGACCAGGTCTGAACTGGACCAGGTCTGAACTTGTTTCCATGGACTGAGAGATGCTACAAAGTTACATAATACTAAATTCATTATCTCTTCTAGTTTATTTTTTGAAAATCTTTGTTTTATTTCGAGTTTCTGTAGCTCCACCCCTGTCCCTCTATAGCCCCGCGCCATTCCCTTTATAGCCCCTCCCATGTCCCTCCATAGCTCCACCCCTGTCCATAGCCCCTCCCTTGTCTCTCTACAGCCCCTCCCCCGCTCCATCTAGAGTTTGTTGTAATAAAACCAATCAGTAAAATATCTGGGTGTTTTCTTGCCGAGCTGATGTTCTGCTGGTTCTGTTTGACCCGCTCCACCTCTGGAGTCACTCCAACACAGGTGGGCTTCACCGGGCTCTGCTTGTACTTCACCTGATGGGAGGAAATTAAATCAAGGCCCCGCCCACATTTCTTCTTCTTTAGTCARCAGGACCAGCCTCAGCACCTGGTCTCTGCTCTCACCGAGCTGATGTTCTCCTGGTTCCGCCGGACGCGCTCCATTTCAGGTGTGTCCTTGATGGCGGTACCATGACCCACTTCCTCTCTGTACTGGACCTGAACAGAACCAGATGTGACCCAGATGCTGCTCGGAGCTTTAACAGAACCGACAGCAGATCCGCAGCCTGTAAATAATTTAAATAATTAATTAATTTAACGTACGTCGCTGATCTTCTTGGCATTCTCCCTGGCCAGGACGATCTCCGGCGTCTCGCTGACCGACGCCATCAAACCCCGCATCAGCTTGGAGTCCCAGGAGTACCGCAGCTAGAGGGCGACAGAGAGCTGCCTAACTGCACCCAGAATAATGATAAAAATACACTTTCTGCAAAAATACAGCGAAAACACAGAGTCATGAAGGACTGCTGAAGTTAAAATAAAAAGAAAAATTAGTTAAAAACAGGAAAACACCAGCTAAAAGTACCAAAAAACAAACTAGAAGCTAAAAGCTAACTACAGGCTAACTAAAATCTTAAGAGGGTAAAATGTTAGCTAAAAGTATCGAACAGATTAGAAGCTAAAAGCTAACTANAGCTAACTACAGGCTAACTAAAATCTTAAGAGGGTAAAATGTTAGCTAAAAGTATCGAACAGATTAGAAGCTAAAAGCTAACTACAGGCTAACTAAAATCTTAAAGGGTAAAATGTTAGCTAAAAGTATCCAACAGACTAGAAGCTAAAGACTAACTACAGGCTAACTAAAATCTTAAGTGGGTAAAACGTTAGCTAAAAGTAGCCAACAGACTAGAAGCTAAAGGCTAACTACAGGCTAACTAAAATCTTAATGGGTAAAACGTTAGCTAAAAGTATCCAAAAGACTAGAAGCTAAAGGCTAACTATAGGCTAACTAAAATCTTAAGTGGGTAAACCGTTAGCTAAAAGCAGTCCTGTTAGCCAGTAGCTGAAGCAGATTTCTGGTTTAAAGCATTAAAGTGATCAGAATATTAGTCATTATTTAAAAAGAATAAAACTCTCGGGGCACTCGGAGCTGAACGTCGAGTTCTCACAGAGCTGACGTGTCTCTGGTTGGCCCGGACTCGTTCCATCTCTGGAGTCTCTGACAGCAGACTGTAGTGGGTCTTCAGCTGCTCCGCCTCGTCTTTATACTTCTTCTACAGAAACACAGAGACGGGTTCTCAGAGGAGGGGCGGAGGGGTGGTCCTGGTTCTCTGGAGCAGGATGTGAGTTCCTACAGACCTGACTGTAGAGGTCTCTGAGGTAGGAGGCGTGCAGGAGTTCAGGAGTGTCTGTGAGAGTCCCGTACGAGTTCTCCCTGAGCTGGTCCATCTGTTTGTACCCGGTCTGCAACACAAACCCCACCTCAGCGGGTCGGTTCTGTTCAGTTCTGCAGGTTTAACCTCTTCCTGTCCTTATTGACAGAGAAGTTTGAAACAAAGGATGTGGATCTGGGTACCTGACTCTGGATCTCTGAGGCCCTCTTGGCTCGCTGGATCTCCAGGACGTCGGCGCTCAGGTCCATGCCTTTACCCAGGATCTCCGTCTCCAGGTCTCGGCGGTACTCCTTCTGCAGAACAAACGGAGGTAAAAATCTGACCTCTTTAGGTTTTAAACTGAAGTCTCTGACCTGGTTCAGGATCTGATTGGCCTTCTTAACCCTCAGCAGCTCAGGTGTTTCCTCCAGACCCACGCCAGATAAGCCCCGCCCCTTCACCTCCTGTTCCAGGTCCTTCTTGTACTCTTTCTGCAGAAAAAGTTGAGGGCTGATGGCGAGGAAACACACGAAGCAGGAAGTAGATCTGAATGATGAGTGTTTACCTCACTCAGCAGCAGGCTGGCCTGTCGGGCCGCCAGGTATCCTGGAGTCTGATCCACATCCAGCAGAGCTTTCCCCTTCACCTGCTCCTCAAAGTCCCGCCGATACTCCTTCTGACAGACGGACAGAAAACATGCATTTGGAAACAAAAAGATCTGAAGTGTCCTGATAGAAATATTTAAAAAGGCTACAAGAGTATGGAGCTAAATTTGGGTCATAAGTGTTGTTCAAAATAAAAAGTTTTTCAAACTAAAAAAAGAGATTTGAAGCTGAAAAATATTTTTGAAACTGAGAAAAAAAGATTTGAAATTGAAAAAAAAAAGATTTGAAATTGAAAAAAGAAAATCTGGAAAATTTCAAACATCTTGTCTTTTCAGTTTCAAACTTGTTTTTCAGTTTCAAAAACATTTTATTTTGAACAACACTTATGACCCAAATTTAGCTCCATACAAGAAACTATAAATGATGTCACATAAAAAGATCAAACAGAACATATTAAAAATAATTCTGAGCTTAAACAAGTTCTGAGACGTAAAGAAACCCATCTGAAGTTTATTATTATTTACCTCACTTTGGATCTTCTGAGCTTCTTTGGATGTTTTGTAGGTCTGAGTGTCTCCAAACTCCATCAGAGAGCGACCTCTGTTCCTCTCGTACTCCTCTCTGTACTTCACCTGGACACACAGCAGCTCATTAACGCTGACGAGCTGAGCAGGAAGTCACCAAAATAAAAGCCTCTCTGTGTGAATGTGGAACCTGGCTGTGAAGCACGGCGTTCTCCTTGTGGTGGCGCTGCTCAGCCGTGTCCACGCACAGGTGGTAGAAGGCCTTCGTCTGCTCGTACTTCTTCTTATACTCCACCTGAACACAGAGAACACGTCAGAACATAGAGAGAACACGTCAGAACATAGAGAGAACACGTCAGAACATAGAGAGAACACGTCAGAACAGAGAGAGAACACGTCAGAACAGAGAGAGAACACGTCAGAACACAGGGAACACGTCAGAACATAGAGAGAACACGTCAGAACAGAGAACACGTCAGAACAGAGAACACGTCAGAACATAGAGAGAACACGTCAGAACAAAGAGAGAACACGTCAGAACAGAGAGAGAACACGTCAGAACACAGGGAACACGTCAGAACACAGGGAACACGTCAGAACACAGGGAACACATCAGAACACAGGGAACACATCAGAACATAGCACACACGTCAGAACATAGAGAGAACACGTCAGAACACAGAGAACACGTCAGAACACAGGGAACACGTCAGAACACAGGGAACACGTCAGAACATAGCACACACGTCAGAACATAGAGAGAACATGTCAGAACACAGAGAACACGTCAGAACATAGAGAGAACATGTCAGAACACAGAGAACACGTCAGAACACAGAGAACACGTCAGAACACAGAGAACACGTCAGAACATAGAGAGAACACGTCAGAACACAGAGAACACGTCAGAACATAGAGAGAACACGTCAGAACACAGAGAACACGTCAGAACATAGAGAGAACA